TATATATATATATGTATATATATATATATATATATATATATATATATTAATGTAAATATGTGTATATGTTGGGTTAAGGATTCTTTTACAGTACTGTCGTCTGTGCCTTGTTGGCGATAAATTCGACAATAAACTAACAGCACGTACTCCACTTGTTTTTGAAATAATACACATATTCGAAACAATTTAAATCTATGTACAAAATTCTTTACACTATGAAGATCATATTTGTATTTTAAACACTATACAGTTCTCTTCTTCTTGTCAAAAGTTCACTTAGGCCAATTCAATTGCTTTAAAATTCAGTTGACAACTATTTTTCTCTATTTTTATTGGAATAGTATCCGTGTATAATTTACTCACGCTGTCGCGTGAGTTACCACAGTTGTATCTTGAACTTCCAATAATCGTCTGCCTTTTGCCAAAGTCCACACAGGCGGGTTCAATTAATTTAAAACGCCCTTTGACGAGAAAAATTATTCTCCTTATCTCTTTCAAACTGTTAATCTCACTCTAACATATCAACCATTAGGCTATTCACTCCCATGACGGTCGTCTTCTAAATTTTTTCTGACTGAACTTCTCTTTCACGTGACTTTACTTTTACTCTTCTGTCCACTCGTCTGGTCGCAGCTATTTATACGTTTATCATTTAGGTGTTCTAGAAATTTCCACAGCCTCGACACCAATGAATTACAAACACAAAATAAGTAAATTAATAATACTACCCACAATAAACAGTCTTTTATATATGACACTCTTACAGCACATCCAGGACTCCAGAGTACATAGCAGTTTTTGCAGCAACAGTCAGCGAACCATGAATCCCAGAATTCATAATCCGAGAACGCTAATTGCCAAGCGACGCCCGATCTGTTAATATTAGACAATGTTAACCAAAAACAGTACAGTGCTCGAACTAGTTTCTTTTTCTAGCACAATACCCTAATGTCAATTTTTTTTCAGATAAATTATTATTTTTTATTTCGTCTTTCGAAGTAATACGTACACGTAACTAACTTCTAAGTTTTTATTCCTTAGATGTTTTTTATAGGCTTGACCGTAGCCTAGTAGTTAGCATACTGGACCGGGGTTCCGAAGGTTTTAGGTTCGAGGCGTAGTGATACCAAATATTCGCACTTTCAGCTGTGGATCCATTATAAGTTAACAGTTAATCCCGATATTCGGTTAAAAGAAGGCGCTTTATCGGTTAAAATTATTTTATCTGTTCAAGGCTAGTAATGAAAACATTCGATCCTTCGTATTCCTTGTACTTCATTAACTAATCGAAAATATGTGGACTGATACAACTGTTAATTGTGCGTAATATAGCGGTCAGTGTTTCGAGCCATTGAACACACTCCACAATTTCAACTGTAATCGCATTATAAAAGTGTCCGTTAATGTTTTTTTATTTGACTAAAAGAACCAGAAAAAGTTATTGTAACGCGGATGCTGCTGACTAGCTATCCTTCCTCTGGTTATGCTCAGGTCGAATTCACTCACCTGTTATCAGCTGCTGTAATGTCTTATTAATGCTTACTTTTAATCTTAAAATGAAAGAATGTTTTTGTTGGTAACAACACTAAATACCTCTGGCATATTGTGAAACACAAGAAATAAATTTTAAGATCTTTGTTTGAGAAAGATTTAGAGAAGTTTCTTTGCAGCAAATATTCTAAATTAGTTTCATTGTGTTATAAGGCTTTCTATAAATTTTATTGTTTAAGGTTTCTAACAACTCTCAGCTAAAGTTATTCTATATGAATATACTTCAATCTGTGTGTGTATGTGTTCCTTATACGTTTTAATATTTCTTGACCAATCAGCACCAAACAGGATGACATGAGGGGGTTGGAAAGATATCATCTTTACTTGACGAATTATAAACATGATGCTAAAATTTAAGTAAGGTTTGTTTGTTTGTTTTTGAATTTCGCGCAAAGCTACACGTGGGCTATCTGCGCTAGCCGTCCCTATTTTAGGAGCGTAAGACTAGAGGGAAGGCAGCTAGTCATCACCACCCACCGCCAACTCTTGGACTACTGTTTTACCAACGAATAGTGGGATTGACCGTCACATTATAACGCCCCCACAGCTGAAAGGGCGAGCATGTTTGGTGTGACGGGGATTCGAACCCACAGATTGCGAGTCGAGCGCTCTAACCACCTGGCCATGCCGGGCCTTAAGTAAAGGAAAGATATATTTGTGGATTAAAACGTTAATATTTTTTGGGCATCACTCCATTTTAAATCATAATTCTTGAAATTTCTGAATGAGCACTCCTGCCTTGTAGGCCCGGCATGGCCAGGTGGTTAGGACGCTTTGACTTACAATCTGAAATCGCGGATTCGAATCCCCGTCCCACCAAACATTCCGGCCTTTCAGCCGTGGGGGCGTTATAATGTGACGGTCAATCCCACTATTCGTTGGTAAAAGAGTAGCTAAAGAGTTGGCGGTGGATGGTGATGACTAGCTGTTCCCTCTAGTCTTTCACTGCTAAATTAGGGACGGCTAGCGCAGATAGCCCACGTGTAGCTTTGCGCGAAATTGAAAACAAACCAAACCTACTGCTTTGTTTCATGAGTGGAATTACATTTATGCCTCTCCGTTGAGACTTACATTTTCTACAGTGCCTAAAGTGTCAGAGAAGTGCATTCAAAATTCTTTTTTTTTTCTTGTAATGTAAAGCTCTATAAATGCATATTACATGTTTTCTTACTACTTCCAGGTTGTGCATTTGTGAAGTTCGGGTCGCATTCAGAAGCACAAGCAGCCATCAACGGACTCCACGGAAGTCAAACTATGCCAGTAAGTAAAACGAATATAATGGAATATTACAGTCACCCATAGTTATTGTTCAATGAACTTTTACATTATGTTTTAGAGTATTTGGTTTTCCACATTATCTGTACATTATTATTTGAAAATGACTCATCGTTCGATTAACTTATCTAGATTTTTAAGTCGAGTTTTGAGAGACCGGATGTAATCTTAAAATGTTTCATATCTTTAAATAAGTTCACTAGGCATAAAACCTCAATTACCTGTTGTTGTTGTTTTTTACCTTTTTTTTTGCAAGCAACCTTTTTAGCTACCCGGTTATAAAGAATTAAAAACCTTACATGTTGTTTTCTACACTATAATTCACAAACGAGAGCAACGTTATTAGTCTGGTGTTTTTATTATTGCCAGATTTATGGGCCATATTTCTATATTTTTATTGTTCCTCAACAACCACAGTTAATACATTGTAAATTAAAACATCTTATAATGGCATACGAGTTTCATATTTAGAATAGGTCCAACATTTGTTTCAAAAAGGTTGAGAAGTTTCTGGGCAGCGAATATTCTCCATGTGTTTGTTTGAAGTTAAACACAAAGCTACACAATGGGCTATCTGAGCGCTGCCCACCACGAGTATTGAAACCCGGTTTCTAGCGTTTTAAGTGCGTAGACAAACCGCTGTGCCACTGAGAGGTGGCTTCCATGTGTTACAATGCTCTATGAGATTTCCTTTACACGCCAATTTGTAGCTTAGAAACTGTGATACTCTAAAATCTTTCAAAACTAAAACAATTTAAGTTTCACAAGCTGTTGAAGGAAATAATATTTGATGATATCACTGAGCTCATTCTTTCTTTTCTCGCTTTATAATATTGTGACTATTAGTCCGCCACTTTGACTGTTCTTGTACTAGCATGCCGTTATAAGCTTATGACTTTTGTACTTCTAATGAGCTAATTTAATAATACAGTTAACTCTTCTTAACTTCCTAAAGCTCCGGTCGTTCTCTGTCTCTTACAAGCTCACGCGTAATTTACGTAAGCATAAGTTGCTCAATAAAGTTCACAGTTACGACTCCAATACATACTTCCACACAATGTTCTGAATTGGTGTCTTCCTATACTTCCTCAAACACAGCACGCTTGCTATTCAAATTTGAAGTCGTCCTCACTGCTGATTGAATGTAAGAGTTGTCAAACAGAAAGCATAACTTTAAGTCACAGCGTTATTTCAATATAAGAGACAGCTACGTTATTTCGTCTTCCCTATACTGATCCATATTTTAAACTTGAAGTCGTCCTCACTGCTGATTGAATGTAAGAGTTGTCAAACAGAAAGCATAACCTTAAGTCACAGCGTTATTTCAATATAAGAGACAGCTACGTTATTTCGTCTTCCCTATACTGATCCGTATTTTAAACTTGAAGTCGTCCTCACTGTTGATTGAATGTAAGAGTTGTCAAACAGAAAGCATAACTTTAAGTTACAGCGTTATTTCAATATAAGAGACAGCTACGTTATTTCGTCTTCCCTATACTGATCCATATTTTACCACATATGCTCATCCACAATGGTTAAATTTACCATTCATATTCAGCTCATTTGTTCCATGTACTCACTTAGACTCAACTCATTTGTCCCGTATATTCCTACAAAAAATTCATTGGTTCCCTGTATTAAAATACAATTAATAATTTCGTATGAGCTAACCCAAAGTTATTTTAACATTTCAGACACCAAATAAAAGTCATTTTAATAGTTTCGCAATCTAACAAGAAGTCAGTCCTTTAGCTCCATAAAATAGTCTCATCTAAAATCAACTTATTTTTTTTTATCAGTTTTTAAAACTTTCAGTGATGACTAAAGGATGTAAAACCATTTTCAATAAAGACGGGGCCCGGCATGGCCAGGTGGTTAGGGAGCTTGACTAGCAATCTGCAGGTCGTGGGTTCGAATCCCCGTCACACCGAATATGCTCGCCCTTTCAGCCGTGGGGGCGTTATAATGTGACGGTCAATCCCACTATTCGTTGGTATAAGAATAGCCCAAGAGTTGGCGGTGGGGGTGATGACTAGCTTCCTTCCCTCTAGTCTTACACTGCTAAATTAGGGACGGCTAGCGCAGTTAGCCCTCGTGCAGCTTTGCGCGAAATTACAAACAAACAAACAATAAAGACGACAAACAACTTCAGGTAAATGTTTATATATTCTACCCGACGTTTCGGCTTACGCCATTTTCAAGGATCTATGAACGTCACACGTTACAAAAAATGGTTACTATAATTTAAAATCCGTTTTGTAACCAGTGCTTAACAAGAACTAAACCATTCCATACGCTAATGCTAAGTTAGTTTATTATCTATACTAACCCAAAGCCAGCTTATTAGAACTGCATCACAATGCACATTCGACCTATTAGTATCATAAACTCATTCATTGTGTACACTAATGCAAAATCATTTAGTAGTTCTACGCTTATTAGTTCAACATACCATAGTCAACAGTTTAATTGTTATTTTCATATATGGTCAAAATTCAACCGATTATTTTAAGGTATTAGTCGTAACATAATTATTTAATTCTATAAAATAATCGTTACTTTATCCATTTAACCCATTATTCCATATTCTAATCGTTCACAAGGTCCATATATTAATCTACAATAAACTAATTAGTTTCATATAATAATTGTGATTTAATTCATCATTTACAAATACTATTCTCTAGTTAACTAACTAGTTCAGTAAATTACTTACAATTTCGATATGGTCAATAAAAATTAACTCATTAATTCCATGAAATAATCTTTATTGAATTGGGTGGTTCTATAAGTCAGAATCAATTTAATAAGTTCATATATTATGCCATAAACATTCAATATACTACTCTAAAGTGAATCAATATGTCCCAGACAACAACTGAAATATAGGTTATTAACTCCGTAGTGTAACTCAAGATCAGTATTAGTGTACTGATTGGCATACAGGTAAGACTAGTATCACAATAACGGGAAATACGGTAAAAATGTTACCCAGGGTTAAAAAATAATTTCTGACTTTATTGAGTTGAAGAAAAGAAACTAAACACAATATTAAAATAAACTGAAAATTAATATCTATTTACTTACAACACAAGTCAGAGACATGCGCACGTTTTCAACAAACAGTATACAACTCTCTTACTGTCGAGAGATCTCATTAGGAAGAGATCTGGATGAGCACCGAGTGAGTTTGACGTTATAAACATAAAACAATAGCGTTATCCCTCTCAGAGTTCAGGCCTTGGATACGTCACTGATCATTCCATAACTGTAAATAAGGAAGACATGGGTTCAAGACGTTTCTAAACAAGGTTATGTTGCTAGAGAAAGTAGATACATGATCAAAGCTAGGTCTCCAACAGCACTATCCGTGAGAAACCCCAGAACCATCCAAGTGTGGCACAATCCTTGACTGTGAGTAACCAGCACACGAAATAAAGTCAATACTGTCAAAGGTAGACGTTTAGTATATAAACGTCTGTTAGCTGCAAAAGAATAAATGTGTATGTCTGGTAAGTTTTGAAACTTTCAGTGAACGAAACAGTCGACCTTTCTAAAAATTAAGAGAGAGAAAAAAACATGGCGCTTTTTGAAGTACCACAATCTTTGTTTTCGTGTTGTCCTTACACTTAAACCTTCAGTTCAATTCAATACATACAAAATTCAAAAACCATGGTTTAACCATATTCAAATCATATCTTATTTCTAACACTCAACAGATCACTTACACAATACGAGACACAGAGAAGACAGGTAAGTAAGTAATTTTAATATAGATCCAAAGTTACAATAATAAAAGTTAGAACATGAAATTAGATACAATGCTAAATACTATACAAAGTAATACTACGTACGTAATTCAGAAATTAACCTTTTAACAATGATGAAATAACAACTTACATTATCAAGTACATAATACAATGCAAAATCAGTAGCTCCTTAATGCTGATGATGAAGACACAGAACCTAGCAGTTAATTATGTAATAAATAGATCAACTTACACAAATAACTATTTTTTTAATGAGCAGAAATATTAATAAAATACTAAATAAGCCATTGAAGAACAAAGTACAGGAACATAAATTCAATGCAATATTATTACCAGAAACTAAACAAAATGCATGTTTTCTAACATTAATCACTAGCAACCACATTACGAAAGAAAAATTAAATACGTCATATAGAAATGAACCCTTGAACAATGATTAATGCACAAGATGTTACAATACCATATAATATAGAATACCTTACTACAAAAGTAAGCCGTTTAATAATTGAACCTAGAAATATTTTTCAATACCCATCAATATAAAATAAAACTATTTAATGATGATAAAACAATACAACATCATTTGGAAAAGTGTTTATTTCAAAACATATCGATAATATGGTTTGAATTTTGCGCAAAGTTACACGAGGTCGATCTGCGCTAGCCGTCCCTAGCAGTGAAAGATTAGAGGGAATGCAGCTACTCATCACCACCCACAGCCAACGCTTGAGCTACTCTTTTACCAACGAATAGTGGATTTAACGTCACGTTATAAGGCCTCCCCACGGCTGAAAGGGCGAACATGTTTGGTGTGACGGGGATTCGAACCCGCGACCCACAGAGGCAACAATACAAGTTGCCGAAAATTAAGAGTATTGTATTTAGGTGTCTTTTGCACATAGAAATTACAATATGAAGATGAATGTAAAGTTTTGTTTATCAGAAGATATGACATTAACATCCATACTCTCACACATATGAAGATGAATGTAAAGTTTTGTTTATCAGATATGGATGTTAATGTCATATCTCTCTCACACACACAACTCACAATATCGAAACAAAGGGTAGGGATAATTGTTTCAACTTACCATCAACAAAGGTAAAGTAACTTTAATGTCCTCTTTTCCACACAATATCACTACATAGAAATGAAGTTAACATTTCTGGTCTGTGAAGAAGAAGAGCAAAATTCACTATTTTAACCTGAAGCTC